CTCTCTCTCTCTCTCTCTCTCTCTCTCTCTCTCTCTCTCTCTCTCTCTCAAAAAGTAGTATGTTCAGAAAAAATATCCTTTCACACAGCTCAGAAATATTTTCCTAGCACATGGAAAAGAAAGTTTGGTTGAATTAACCATTTTCTGATAAGCCGGCCAGAAAATTCTGGTTGAGATTACCAGAAAGCTTGTTAACTTGAACAAAATTCTAATAACTCCAAGTGGAAGTTTTGTTCATGTCTTGCCAGAAATACGCTTAGTCCAAGCAAACTTTCTTTTACCGTGCAAGTATACACACCCAATGAAAATGCTCACAATCGCTCAAAGACTGTTCTTCGTTGTGACGATGTGGCGATGATTTTCCACGCACTTTGATTCCGTTGTCGTTTACGGCAAACGCAAAAGCGATTGTTGTGCTTTTACGCGAGCGAGCTACTTGGCGCGGTTTGGGCGGATTTTAGTCTTTTAACTGCTTTGCACGACCTTTGCAGCGACCGTATCCAGACACCGCTGATTACCCATCCCGCTTGCAGCTCCTTCGCGCAATCCTTCGCGCCGGAGCGTGTGCCGGGCGTAGCATTTGAGCGAGCCTAGAAGGCGTAGGCATATCGGCTTGCACGTGTGCACGCGAAGGGAAGCCTCGTCGTAAACGACGAGGTTGCACCGTGACGATTACACGGAGACGCTTGAATATTCGCGGTTTCCCGTGTCCGAAGCGAGCGGGCCGCGTGGATTCGCGTCGGATTGATCCGTGCGCGCCGCCACGCGTATCCATCTGTCTCGCACGCAACAGCCGTGACGCGTGTCGATCGTGTATGTACGCGCGTCTCATTTAATACCGTTGCATCATGCATAACCTGTAGCCGCAGGAAGACGCATGAAGAGGTGTCGAGGGTACTTTTGCGCGCGCGTACGTGTTTCAAATGCACGCACATCCGTGCATCTTCAAACCTCTCTCAAGGGCTCTTTCTCTCTCGCTCTTGAGTTTACGCACAATTCAGCACATCGTGTGCGCCCGCCACGATGAACATTTCCTTCGACGCGTTTATCTTCTCTTCTAAGACGTTTCTAAAACGGCAGCAGACGAGTTCTCATTCTTTTCGCTCCGAAGAAAGGGGCAGAATTAAATGTCGTGGGATTCGCTAGACCTTACCTTGCACTCGACGATTGTATCAGAAGGTATACAGTATTTCTACAGTTAATATTTGTTAATTTAAGTCAGCTGAGAGTATTATATGCACGCCACGCTTATTTCTTTTTTTCTCGTTTATTTCTCTGGGTTGACTTCATAAAGAGAATGGAGTCAAATTTGTTAAGTACAGATATCGACAAGTTATTTCCTACCTCTCGACTCGCAATCGCCTCGCTCAGTCCTAGCTCTAATACGGAAGCGATGCGATCGTCTACCGCAAGTCGTGCCGTAATAAGAAATCGTCCCCGTTCTTCGGGACTGGTAAACATTTATTGATGGCACGAGAGAGAATGGAATGTTTCATCAGCCGACAGACGCTGCCCACCATTATTCATCGGATAGTCTCCGCAATCCACCTTTCGCAACGTTTTTCTCGTCACCAAAATTTGATTCCATTCTTGACGAGCAACATTAGTCTTGAATATACGGAAAAACGAATATTCAAGACTATATTCATATGTAGAATAAAGCAAATATGAAGGTAATAGAAGCGTAAGTTCACATTTAAACATTACTCGCTTTTAATATATTGAAGACAATTTAAGATAAATTCACATGAGATATAAATGACGATATTTTTTTTTTGATAGAGCTTTCGGTCTTATCTAACGTACGACTGATTGCGAACTTTTTTATCTTATTTTATCTTTATGATATTTTCTCCTGTTCTCACATTTTCTTGTTTTGTCTCACATTGCGAATTTTAAACAATGTGCGAATTCGTCTCTTACGTTGTCGAGAGGTCGCCGATACAAAGTGCAAATGTATTTTTGTTCGTAGATCTCGGTGAGCACAGTGAGTACCAGAAGATTCAGCCGAGCCGGAACACCGAGCTCTATTTTATCTTCCGACAGCGACATCCGCTTCACAAGAAAGCTCGGCGGCCAGTATCGCTGCGGATGCTGCGTCCTCGCCGCTTTCTTGCTCTTTCTCCTCTTCTCGGGCGTCTCCATATACCTCGGCTGTAAGTATACTACTACACGAAGAAAATATCGTAGTAAAAATTAAAACATTTTTCTAATCATATATATATATATATATATATATATATATATATATATATATATATATATATATAGAATTACGACTGAAATTATTATATATTTGTTGAAAAATATTATGCTTTTGACTTTTTACTGTACATTAATGTAATTCATGAATGTTTCTTATGTCGTATATTCAGTAGATTGACAAATTTACTCTTTTTATAGCAATTTATACTACAATTTCAATATTACAAGTCCAACTTCACAAAAATACTGTAAAAATAGATATAATTTTAATGCAATCTTTGTTGCAATATCTTTTCCATATATAGAAGCTGCGACTTACTCATTAACAATACAAAAATTCGCAAGATATATCGCAGACAACAAAATTTCCGGGAAGAAAAACGTCATACTTAACATAATTGGCCATAGAAATTTGCAAGAATAATCTAATATGATTCTATATGAAAAGTTTTGAGAAAAATAAAGATGAATAATAAAATTTTGAGAAAAATAAAATTTGTGATACATGATTTAAGAAGTATAGATAGCACACTGAGGTTCTTTGCAATCGTTGAAGCATGATTACAATTTTCTTCTCTATTTATTATCAAGCTTAACTCTTAAAAAGTGAGTAAAAAATACGCAACTAGCAAAAATGACACATCCAGTAGCAGATAAAACTTATTTTTAATTAACTTTAAACCCCCACATAGCTTGGATCTTTTTTGTTTTTTTGTAGAAAGACGTACGAACTATCCATTGGTAACAAAAAATAAAAAATCACAATTTTGTGGGTCATTCTTACACAACTATGGTCAAGTAAAAGAATTGCGCGTCTCTCGCTTGTGGTATGACTGTTACAATGTAGGCAATATACCTCAGTTAAATTTTCAAATTATCTTGTTTCTCAGTAATAAACTCGTTGCTTATGACAAGCATTCAATCGAACGATTTAATTTATTCCGCGCATCATATGATGATTATAATGGGCATCGCCCATTATCCGAAACGCAAGATCGTCATTACTCCTACGCCGATTTCTCGGCGCCGCAATTATTACCTTAATGCTATTATGAACAACACGGTGTTACTCATTAACCGAGTCGGGACATTTTCGTCACGCGAGCGCTTCGCTGCTTTCACTCGCGCCGCGTACACGTCTTTGTACACGGCGTGTACGCGACGGGCAGCGTCGCAAATGAAATTATTCCACGGTTAACCGGCAATCGGCGACCTAGCGGGCATGAAATTATCCCGGTAACATATCGCGATCGTTTGCCAGGACGACGAATGCGTTCACGGTACGTGAACAGTTCGCGAACGGTGAAGCGCGATCGGCGACGATCCGCTTAGTTCGAATGAATGGCGTTTCTCTCGTAGGCGCGTGCACTTCACCTTGGCATCACGCTCGACGCACACACACTGTGCGTTACACATGACGACTTAGAGAAGCGAGACCTAGACGAAGGAAGGAAGAGGAAACGCTTATCTTCCTTTGTGTTCTGTTAGGGAGCATTGTTCTCCAAATCAACACTGGTATCGTCAAAGCGTTGATTGATGATGTTAAATTGGGAACTTTGAACTTTGAAGAATAGTCTCGAGTACCTTACGATTTCCTTGTTGCTTTATCCAACCTATAAATTATCATATTTATTGGGTAGATCGAAAGGTTCGTGCGCAATTTTTGAATCAAATTTAACTTTATTGTATTCAATAGAAATGAATTCAACAAGCAAACATTCTCTATGATTCTTAGCTAACGTTATAGCATAGCATTCATAAAAAGTGAATCCATATCACACTGAGAAAAAATATTTGAAAATTTCTTTGTAAAGTATGAAATTTATTTCTGTGAAATAAATTTATTTTTGTGAATAAATTTTATATTCCACAAATATAAATCTTTAGGTATTTTTCTCGGTGTATTGAAGGAGGCAGAAAACCGAATTCTTTGACTGAAGCAATAAATATTCTTTGTTGTATACCTTACTATTACGTAATGTAATCATTTGTATATGAACTATCGGTTGTGGAAATAATTAGAGAATAAGTGGAGAGAATACTGTAATAAAAATTACGATACAATTTTAGTATACTTAAAAAATAAACTGGCACTACAATGAAAATTATAATAAAGATATAGTAAAAGTGATTATGAACATAGTAAAAATTATCATAAATGTACTAAAAATTATCAAGTTTATAGTCATTTTTACTGTTTTATTATAATTTTATACAGTAGCCCATTTTCGAACTACTGTAAATTGTATTGCAATTTTTATTACGATATTTTCTTCGTGTAACAAACAGCATTTGCTAGTACAATTTTTCTGTTTGTTGGTAAATAGAGAACTTTTCTCCTTACTGAGAATGACACGGATTTTTCGATAAGTTAGCGCAATTATCGGGGAAACGTTCGATCGGAAGTGTACACTAGCGTTTCTTCGTGTACTCGGTAACTCGGTCAGACCGTTATGCGTGCGTGCTGAAAGACCTCAATGGGCTTTGGCCGCATCACCTTCTTCCTGCCTTTCATCTTCTACTCTTTACTCGCTCGCTCTATCTGCTCGGTTGCGATCAGCGACTTTTATCGTGCATTACAGCGTATTCATTACTTGCACTGTGAATTTTACCTGTGAATTTTACTCTTTGACCTGCGTATCCCGCGACTACGTCACAACGAGCTGGCGAACTGATCGATTTACAGCGCATTTAAACTTCAGTCGCGGTCCAACATGGATATACACTCGCGCGATACAACGAGCGACGCGAAGTCAGTAATTCTCGCAGCCGCTTAATTCGTGTTTACGATCGGGGGGAATAAGAGGTCACGGAAGATCCCTCACGATCGTGCCGGTCCATTGAGGTCTTCCAGCTGGTAAAGGTATAACGGTCTGACCGAGTTGTTGGCCGACCAGTACGCGCCTAGTCCAACGGTCGACCTTAAAGGTGGGGATCCGTGTCCTTGGAACATTTTGATTCTGCGGCACTGTGACCTATTCTACGATCATCGAAATCACGTTAAAACGGCTGACTACTTCAAGAGGCACAGATTATATGTCCAAAAAAAGAAAAGCAAGCCGTATATTCACACAAGCGATTAACGCAAAATTTCGCAATTCTGCAGCACTGTATATTAATTGAAAATTTAGAAACGCAGTTTTCATGAATGGCGAACGAATGCTCAATCAAAATGATTGCAATGAATCACCTTTTTGGCAGATATTCCTCCTGAGAACGCTGGAATAGAAGCAGCTAAGCATTCCGTGCAGATCCTTGCTTGAAGGATTATTTCAGGATCTTGTTACTTCTCGACGAGACAAAAGCACCTCTAGATTACGCTGTACACGTCGCTGGAGTAAGATGAATTGCTTTTTAGTAAGGTCGAGCCATTTATACCTATCAACTATATTTATACCTGTCTCACGCTGAACATGCACGAGGAAGTGTTTCTGGGTTCTTGCGCACTCTATACGCGATAATGCAACGTTCATTAGTCACACATGAGAAAAGTGTAGCTGAACACCGCGGGTATCTCGAGTATCGCGCCTCGGGACCGCAGCGTAACCACGAGGAGAGGTCTGGTCATTGGCGTCGCGATTAACCATTTAAGACCCACATGTATATTATTATGCACATTCACCTTGGAGGTACAGCCCAAAATTTTTGTATTAGCAAAATACTGATAAAAAGTAAGCAAATTTTATTTTCTTAATTTTTTATGTTTGCGTAGATACGTTGCATTGCGCAGTTATTTTATGATATACTTGCGAAAAGGAACGTATATGCAAAAGTTTGAAGGATATGGACTCAGGTCTTAGCGTTATTTCCTAATTTCCAGCAACCTGAATGAATGACATGATTGCGAGGTGTTTCCTCTGAAAATTCCCTCAACAGAAAGAAGGAACTTTCAAAAGAGGGAAATCTCGAAGAATCGCCAAGTAAAAGTTACGAATTATGAGAAAAAAGAAGACCACCTTGTTCTTCTTGATATGAGAAAAACAGGGTAGAGTTTCATACATTCGTCTTACAAAATCTAGAGATGTTCTCACGGCAAAGCCCTGATCTGGATGAAAACGAGCGACGGACTATTGCATGCCAGATAGCCATAAGCTAATGAGAACCTCGCGATCATCTCGTTATCTCTGGAAAAGGTATCTCGCCACTCATGGCCGATACCGCGAGGGTCAAGAGGGTGTTCTCTCAGGGCGAGTCGGGCCGGCCGGTGAAAGGTGATTCCTAGGTGATCAGGCGGCAGGGGATCGCTGCAGGCACCTGCGTGCTCCCGATTTGTCTCGCGGAAAATTGACCGCACCGAGAGCGACGTCGTAATGACAGCGCGCTCGGGGAGCGAAACCCGCCTTTTCCGCAGCCCGGCGCAACATTGTTGGCACGTTCTCCAGCAGCCCGGAGCTCTATCATTTGCCGATCGTACATACATTAGAAAGCCAGTCCGCGATATACCGCGAATTACAGCGGTATATCCCGGCGCGCGAGTCGCGACGTTCTAAATTCCTTCCTCTGCGGCTACTTAGCTCAGTCAGGTTGTCCGGCGAGACGTGGCCATCATCGTTGTGGGTCGTTACGGCGTCCCGTAAGTGGCGCTCGACGAATTACCGTGGCTCCTCGTCAATTCTTATGCTTCTTATCGGAGGTATGCCGTGATGGTGAGCGCGCACACGGCGATTAATGAAGAAGTGCACGATAATTATTTATTAAGTGTTGTTACCAATAACGAGGACACCGCCATCATTTTCACGGCCGTGCAATACACACCCAGTGATCAGCCTTTTTTGCTCACGTCTACGGCGTAATCGGTGCGAGTCTCTTGCGATATACGGCCGCTTACAATGAGTACTATCGACATGAGCGATTCGCACCTATCCTATTGCCTTCAGCTTTTTGCCTCTGAAGAACAAGCTAAGGCCCATACAGAAAAATAAATATATTAGTACGTTATTTCATAAAAAATTTAAGAAAATAGATGAGAAATAGGTGAGAAATAGATATCGACAGTGCTTATTGTAAGTGGATCGATGCGCGGGAACAGCGATAATTCATTGTCAATTAACCGGATCTCCATCCTCAAACTACAGTCCGCACTCTTGTGCGTTATTAGTCAATAGTTGCGAGAATTGAATGCTCATTTTCCTTTTTCCCACTTTGTGATTTCAGACACGTTCCTTACCTCGGATCCACCCGGCGATCAGATATTCCTCGCGACATTCCGAGTTACCAAAGGTGATTCCTTCACCGCGGAGCTGGCAGACCCCTCTACCGAGGCCTTCCGACTGCGATCGCGAGAGTATCGCGATCGTCTTAATCTCATCTTCCGTCGCAGCTGGCTGAAGCTGTCGTTCCTCGCGGCGGACGTCCTCGCGCTCGACGGGTAATTCAAAAAGCCTGCAACTACTACATCAATCAAGTCCATTCGTATGATTTCCTGCTTCAGATTTAATGTGGATGAAAACAAGAACTGTTCTTAAATCTCTATTTCTGCCTATCTGTCTCCTTTAACGTTCTCCTTTAACGTTCTCTCTTAACGTTCTCCTTTACATCATGCTGTCGCACGAGGCACACCCTAGAGGTGTCTGTGAGACAAATTATGCAACGGCGTCCAACATGCCGTATAAGTTGAGAAAATTGGAAAATTGGCCAATTACGGGACACGTATGCCGGGAACTCTCCTGCGATTGTCTGGCTCTCCGCTGTTGCTTTCGAGAAATCGATTTTCATAGAAGGAAATGTCGGCGCGACGATAGCCGACACTGTGAAACTGATGGAAACAGCACCTGCAGCTGCGCGCGCCAGAGAAATCGAACGAGATCGCTTCGCAGCTTTCTCGTGATCTCGCGACACTTGCTTCTTTCAGCGTATGATGAGATGCTACCGCCATTATCAGCTGCTGCGTCCATCAATAATGTATCATACACGACCTCGCGGATTTCACCGATTTATTCTCGTCGGTTTAGCCGCGAGGCGAGAGAGCTGCAGCGTTGCAATTTCATTTTATTTTATTTCAGAAGCCCATTAGAGATTGTATCCCCTGTCTGAGATTTTTCGATGGAAATTACGGGTTTAATCGGCGAATTACTAAACAACTGTAAATTTCTGAATTTTTTAATAAATTAACAGTCTCTTCCATTGAACACAATAATTAGGGAATTAACGAAGGAAAAAAATACCAGGGATAGCAAATGGCATGACTTGACTTGAGACTAAATAAATAAAGCGTGAAATGACCGAACCATGTTAGCCGTTAATAAATTCAAATACATTTCGACACTTTATGTCTTTGGCGCATTTTTTTACATATATTCTCTACATTTGAACATTGAATGTAGCATTGAAGGTCGCGACCTGGTGGTGCACTTCGACGTGAGGTTCGACCCGCGATATCAGACCATAACCACCGGCAATATCGTGGACATTCTATCGCGAGAGTTGAGCCCGGAAACTTCACGGTACCTCGCGAACCTCACGATAGAAGCGAAGAGTCTCGAGGTGCAGGAAAGTCTGAAGGCCCTCAACGCGCAGATCAGCCTGCAATCGACCGTCTCGACGTTACCGCCGACGACGACAGCCCCACCGCCGAGAAGATGCAGCAAATTGGACCTGGCCTACTGCAAACACCTGCCGTATAATATCAGCTCATATCCGAATATATTGGGACACCGGTCGTTGGCAGACGTCGAGGAAGATGTCATCGCTTTTAGGTACTTTCTTGTAAACTGGATAGATTCATAGTGGGTCGCGATAAACAAGGGATTAATCTATCGCAAATGATGTGCAGCCGTATATAATGTACATGAAACAACGATATCATATCGAATCTAATGATTGCGTGGGAATTAGGGAGCTAGTGGACGCGGAATGCTATCCGTTGGCCTACGACTTCGTCTGCCAGGTATTGCAGCCGGCGTGTCGGTCGAGTCAGCCCGAGGATCTGCTGCAACTGCCTTGTCGCAGCTTCTGCAGGGAGTTCTGGAACGGATGCGGCAGTCGTCTCCCGGAGAAGATCAAGCGCGCTTTGGATTGCTCCAATTTTCCAGAGTACGCCGAACCTGGTAGTTGCAGGTCGAAACCAGGTGAGAGCAATTCACCTCAGGCGACGCAACAGTGCGATTGCAAGCGAAGTCTCTCCTTACGGAAGGTACTGAGCGTTCAATGAGCTTAAATCGACACACATGTCAACAGGATGTGTTCAAGCGCTTCAGTCGAAAGCTCTGTCCCCGAGAATTTGCGACGGTGTGATCGATTGTCCGGATCTTTCGGACGAGAAGAACTGCGCTTATTGCCGAGACGGCTACATGCATTGCGGAGTGGGAAGAGCTTGTATACCACACGCGAAACGGTGCGACGGCAAGGCGGACTGTCCGAATGGCAGCGACGAGAAGGATTGCCGTAAGTGCACTGAGAAAAAAGTACTAAAAAGTTTGTTGGTGCGGTGTAGAATTTATTTACAGGAATAAACTTCATATTCCGCAAATAAATTCTAAAATATTTGCTATAGATATATTTTCAAACATTCGCTTTTATATCCTACAAATGAATTTTCAAGAGATATCTCAAGTATTTATCTCAATATCTTCTTCTTAGTGCAACAAGCAACATTGAAACAACCAAGATACAGATATCGAAAGATTTTAGGAAAATTTGAAGAAATTATTTAATTTTCATGCGTATATTATTATATATTTTTGTGACAGTGTCTTTGGCGCCGAGCGTTCATGCGTTGAGATCGCAATCGTGGAGCACACCGCACGCCGCGAGGTACAATAAAGAAGGCTATGTTGTGTTCAACGAAAAGGGCACTGTCGGCAAACTCTGCACGGCAAACTTGAACGCCACTCTCCCAGAAACGGAAATGGATAACGTTTTGCAAACAGCAGCGAGCTCGCTGTGCACTTTACTCACATATACGTAAGTATTCGCGCTGTTCAATAAATTTATATTCGCGTCGTGTGTAACTATAAAACAGATCGTAACACAGAATTTGTCGCGTCTTGCGCTTATAGCGGTGTAGCTTCCGTCGAAGTAAGAATTGACGATGAAGAGGATGTTCCATACGTGTACATGGAGGATCCATCAGCACCGGAAATCACTTTCGTCAGGGCTCCTTGTCCCAGCAAGGAAGTGCTGTATGTTCGATGCTCCGATCTCGGTACGAGATGTCAGTTCACTAAATATTTCCTATCGATAAGCGTGATCTTTGCATAAATGCTCTGACATATTTGTAATAACTGTAACTGATCACTTGTGTGATAAACCTTTCAACTATACCATCATTATTTATTATCATATCATCATGTATTTTACTGACTTTTTGGCTTTTCTTGGGAATCAGAGTGTGGAATACAATCTTTACGTAACAATGGCGGCACTGAAGGTCTCAATAAAATGGCGGAACCCGGAGACTGGCCTTGGCACGTTGCGCTATTCAAGGAGGGAGTTCATGTTTGCGACGCCACTCTTGTGGCAGATAACTGGTTACTCACGACCGCATATTGTTTCCAAGGGTGAGCGTTAAATATATCGTTCTTTATTATATATTATATGATATAGTGTATCGTAATTTTAACGGGACCGATTTTCATTGCAGTCAACCGAAAGCGGAATGGTCGGCCAGACTCGGCGTCGTACGACTCTCAAGCACTTCACCTTGGCAACAAGAACGCAGAATCGTCGGTATGATTAAATCACCGATGGAAGGCACGACCGTTCTGGTGAAATTGGACAGACCGGTGACGACCTTTTCGGACTTCGTGAGACCGGTTTGTCTGCCCTCCAGCGAAGATCCACCGAGCAACGCGTCGCAATGCAACACTCTTGGCTGGGCTAGAAACCGTACGTTGGCCATCATTTTATGTCGCTTCTTATTTAATCTGAGACCGTCAAACATTTTGCTTTCTGCTACTCTTAAATAACTAGCAGTTATTTTCATTAAAAATTATTGGAATATTCGTTTGACACCCACATACCGCGATATATTATATTAATGAAATATTTAATTTTATAAAACATATTTGTTACATATTATATTGACAACACGAAGAATTCATTCAATCAAAGAATGTCGTCCAGAAAATCCCTGTTTTGTTACAAAACAGGGCAAAGGCACGTCTTCTTCACAGTCTTGCATAATTGCACTTTTTGTTTGATAAAATCTTTAATCCACGATATCTCCAAAATTATAAATCGTAACATATAAGTTCTTTAACTAATAATAATCTACTTTTGAAGAACTTTTTTTTTGGTACGATGAGATTTGGTTTTGTGAAAAGGGCAAAAATAGGTTACTTTTTAAATGACACTATTTATTCTTCACATAATATTTTGATATTGTCAAGCAGAACGTTACAATTAAATCTGAAAGAAGATAGTATGCTTTCTGCAAAATATTAGTATATCACTATTTCTTTGATAAAATGAGATACAACGTTTTTCGAAAGCCTTCCAACGCAAGAAGTTAATTGTTGGAAGATGTTTCAACGAATATATAGTGTCTTTTCTTTGCAATAGGCGATTTACTGCAAAGGGTACAGCTGAAACACAGCGCGATGGAGAGGTGCGAAAACATTAGCATCCCGTCGGTAAACAGTGTTTGCACAGAACAGGCGTACTCCATGGATGATTGTAACGTAAGCCAAGACACTCGAATAAAAACATTCGTTTATTTTCTTTTAGAATTACTTTTGATTAAACGCATTACTCGCATCTGTGACGGGAATTAACGTCCTATCTTTCCATTGTCTGGGAGAAAAATTACTTTTTTTCAATATTCATTAATTCTAGGAATTAATTAGTAGCAGGAAGCACTTTATCATTCAATTTCAACAGGAGGAGGAACTCGCCGGCAGTCCAATGCTGTGCCTCCAAGTAGATGGCCGAAAATGGGCACTGGAGGGTATCGGCAGCTGGAGGATAGCTTGTTCGAAAGACGGCATCGAGAGACCTCGATTGTACGACAAAATTTCGTCGCACATTGACTGGATCAAGTCCACGGTTGGCTGAGGCTTTGGAGTTCATCGAGTCCGACCAATGTCGTTCCATGAGCGAGACTTAATGTCCACTGATACTGAAAATCGAAATTGTGATAAAAATTGCTAATTTGTTACGCGATATATCGTTACCGTGCGTTGACAGACTCTATCGCATCTGTTTCATATAAGAACACACATTGTGCTGCCGTTATCGAAACAGTCGTTTCGTCGGGCACGGAAAGGTCGTAAAATGCTGCGTTTCTGTAAATATAAATATTTTAATCTAGGACACGAGAGTCCTTTGTTACCGTGGCATAATTTTTTAACTTATTTTTCTCGTTCTATATACGTATGTAGAACGAAAAGAAATGTGTATATATATATATATATATGTTTATATATATACATTTTTTTCTTTGAATGTATAATACGTAATTGCTTTGTATTTTAGCCTTAAGTCTTCTACCGTTACTTTAATGATAACGATGCAATTTTATTTTTAAGATCGATAAAATATAAGATGATATTTCATATGTAAGAATACATACACAATAGTTCACACGCATTAAAGTTTCTTAAAATAATAATATGATGTTTGGAACATTTCGTCACTTCTACGTTACACCGCGAATTAACGAACGTAAACATGAAAAAGATTATTAGATCTTTATTTTCGAAAAACTTCTGAGCCAGCGCAATATATTGGAATGAGACCAGTGTATTTTCTTTCACGCTCTGACTTATCGCGTCCATATGTATTAGTTCAAAAGCTATTAATAGACAATCGTCGTTTCATGTTGCGTCACATGCGAAGCACGTGTCGACCAAACGCAGAAGTGTTTTGCGCAGAATCATCGTCAGCAACGAAAGGGTGGGATGTAAGGCAGATCGATGAGACGAAATGTTAGGCGCAACCGTAAGTTGAGAATATAATTCTACGGACAGCTGCCGAGGAAAGTGGTGTCGTGCTTTTCTGTTCCTGATGGTAAATATCTTATGATAATAAATGTTCTTTGAATGATTAGTTAAATTTATGCAATTAATTATATGCACCAAATTACAAATTTCTCCTTTGTCATAGTTAATCATACGAATTTAAAATGCACGATATTATGTGTTATTAGCACAAGCAAATTTGATATTGTTCGAGTAAATAATTATGCTTTCTGATCAAGATTTTGTCCTGGTAAAAGATTCGTTTTTTATTTCATTGTGTACAACGCTTTGTTTACATTAGTTCTCACATGTATTATATTTTTACAAAGGAGAAGACAATAAATGTCGATTGTGCGGGCCTCGCACGTATCGATCCGCTTGACGATCCTGTGGATCTCTTCAAGGTGTGGCGTAACGAAGTAATAACATTCCATGAAGGAATAGTTGACGTTTGTTGTCTGGCGACTCTTTCCAAGTAGGTATACTTCGCATTAATAGTGAAATATCAACTCACCTGATTCTATATCTCAGAGATTACAAGATTAGTTCGAGAAATTTACTGCTACGTGAATTTGATAATGACGGTTTTATCATCATGACAGACGCGCGTAGCCGAAAAGTCGATGATATGGTAAATATTAGCTTATTAATTCTCTTGTCATTCTGGTTATTAGCCAGATAATCTTTTAATCTTTAATGTTATTTTAATTATGCTATAAAATAAAGTTTTGTATAAGTCCATTTAAAATTAATTGGAGATTACAATTTTGTTATTAATTCTTTCCCGAAAAATTTTGCGAAAAATCTTAGATGTTTGTTTTGCGAAAAATCTTAGATGAAACTTAAAAACTTATATAACTTCAGAAAATCTTATAAATTCGTATTTAGGTATTTGAAAAAATAAAAGTAAATAAATGTCTAGATATAGTTTCCGGAATGGAGCCGTGTCTTGAATCAGCGATATGCCGACGTTTCGCAAAC